GAGAGTAAACTTCGACATTTGCAACTCAGAATCAAAATAATTTCTACAGATTTCTCTGTAATGGCTACATGGTATAAACTCTGAATGTTCTACAAAAAGAACACTTTAATCCTTCATTTAATTTCTTTGGTTTCTCAGAGACAAAAGCTACTTAAGTGATCTGAGCAATGAAAGACAAGCAAACAAAGGTAACACTCTGTCCCTATAGTTTCAGGGATGCTGGTAAATACCAGCTCTGACAGACCAGTTCTGCATGGATTAAGTCTAAATAAAGGCAGCTAGAACCAGTTTTGGACTATTGCTTTCCAGCAAAAACTGTATTTGGCTCTCATATAATCCAATTCTATGATGCTACTTTACACATAGTCCCATATAAAATTGATGGAGGAAATTAAAAGACTACTTTCATTAAACAGGCACTAAAAATTAGAACAAAAAAATCTGTTCCCTATTAGGCAATACAGGAGCATTTTTCAGAATGACAGAAACAGAGAACAGTACCAAAATTAGGATGAGAAAATTCAGTAAATTCAGACTACCTGGGTAAAAGTTTTACCCAGCTCTACTAGCCTTCATTAACAGTAGCACCTGGAAAATCTGAAGGCTACAACAGACTAGACAAAATTAAAATACATTAAAATACACAGCATGGAAAAATTATGTATAAAATTGTTTGCCCTCCAATTCCACATTTAGATCTGCCAGAGAGGTTTTCTTACATAGGTGTCTTTCTACCACGTATCTTGCAGCAAGATACAATGAATGAGACTCAAAATACAGCATACCCTAAGTCTCCTGTTTGGTAAACAGCTGAATATAGACAGTTCTGATACAAGCATTGTGTCAGGCCACACTAACTTCCACCATCAAATGACAGCACTGCTCTTGGGCTTTTCTGACATCTTTACTGCAAGGCTCACAGTCTGCAGTCACAGATTCAGCTGTGTCAAAGAGCATGACCAGAGAAGGGCTCACAGGGTGGGAAAAGGGATAAATAGTACACAACCTTCAGCAAAAACAAAAGACTACTCACCCAATCTGCATTCAGTGATTATTATCTGCATTTAGAAGACTCAAGAACATGAGCTTTAGTTCTAATGTTCCCTTTAACATGCTCCGGGAAAAATTCCTCATTTTCCCCTTTTCCTGAATACAAGAAAAACATTCTCTTGCAAACTGCTTTTATATGCTCAGGTGAAATACACTGTAAAATGTAAGGCTCAACTGCATTCCCCATGGTTCTGTAAATTATATCCTACTAACCTCAGAACATACACACAGTTTGGAAAAGCTGGCATGGATTGCACACTTTGAGCTGATGAGCATGTGGCTCCCATCCTTAAAGCCTCGACTGTAACTATGGTGGAAAAAGCTGCAACCAGCTCCATGTTAGGTGTCTCTGGAGAGATTCTTCACTCAGCATCCTGACCTGAACAGAGTCATTTCTGGCTCTCCTTTAACACAGAGCTTCTAAGTTTCTGGTATGTCAGGGGTCTCTGAACAGCACTTTCCCAATTCCTAAATAGAGAGCATCAGCTTTGTTTTCAGGAGAAATTTGAAATTGTATTGTATTAAAGGGTATTTCTACCCAACAGCTGCTATTTTGTGTTTTCACTTACCCTTGCCCTAATGTGTTTCAGTTGAATCCTCCAGTTGGTTTTTTTTTTTTTTTGTTTTTTTTTTTTTTTTTTTTTTTTTTTTTTTTTAATTTTTTTTTTTTTTT